CATTTTTGACTCCCTAGTCAAAATACAGGAAGACCTCTGGTGGCGTAGTGCCTAAGGCACTTAACTGCTAATCAGAAGGCTGATGGTTCAAACCCACGAGTCACTCCTCAGAAGGAAGATTGGGCAATCTACTTCCGTAGTGATACTGCCTCGGAAACCCAAGGAGGGGCTGCTGAGTCAGATCGACTTGACGGCAGAGAGTTTTTTGGTTTAGTCAAAATGTTACCCTGATCTGCAAAGTATATATTAAATAAATGTCTGTAATCAATTTTTATTTTTGCTTATTTTTTAACAGCATATTCCACGCCTTGCACATTAAGTTTTTCCTGTAATGTTTTATCAAAACCTAGAAAACTGTTCAAAATACTTTAAAAAGTGAATTTTGAAATGATACTGGATTAACATCACAGCTGCCTAAATCTGGACATTACACTGGAATCAAGTAATCAGTATATAGTAAATTTACCACCACTGCTGATGTCAGGAGCTCTGGTAGCATAGTGGCTAAAGCATTTGACTGCTAACCAGAAGGCTGGCAGTTCAAACCCACCAGCCACTCCTTGGAAGGATGGTTGGGCAATCCTACTTCCGTAGTGATACTGCCTCAGAAACCCAAGGAGGGGTCGCTATGAGTCGGGGCCGACTCGACGGCACATAACAAGAACAACAAAGCTGATGTCAGATGGATTCTTGGCTGAAAGCAAAGAATACCCGACAGATGTTTACCTGTGCTTTATTGACCATGCAAAGGCACTTGACTGGATTATAACAAATTATGATTAATCTGTCTAATTCTGCTTGGGCTCCTTGATAACTCAACCTGACCCCCTCCTTGTAGAAGCTCTCCTTACCCTCACAAGGCACTGAAGATACTCCATGCCAGCTTGCGTCCAGGTGTGGCCACTCTCCTCACACTGCGTAAGCTCTGATATTCCACACCAGGCACCATTTGTGGGGAAGTCCTACTTACCCTGCTTGGTCTCTGATGCTCCATCAGGCACCACCCCCACATGGGCGTTTTTGTCAACATGAACATTTTGACTCCCCAACCTTGGCAGCTCCCCATCTGCCAATGTAGGTGCAGTCCTCAGCTCTCAGGCTTTGACACCGTATGTGGGGTTGCCCTACCATAAGGATGCCCTCTTCACCCAGCTCTGTTCAAAGTCCCTTCACCAGGCAGCCCCATCCTCACGCATCAAAGGCCTCAAGTTCTGACACCCTGATAAGCAAACAATAAATACACCACAATGAAAACAACACAAAGAAACAAAAATGGGCACTAGCTTTGAAAAGTCAATTCAGAAAGAAAGAAAAGCATTCAAGGAGCACAGCGAAAGTGGTCAGATTACTCATCAGAGAAATCTTAATGGAAACACTGATAACACTCACACTGTCTAAAAGCTAAATTTAAAAAGACCACAACCTCAGAGAAATAGCAGAAATGTGGAGAAACCAGAACGTTCAGATTATGAAAGTAAAAAGATTAAACAACTTTGGAAAAGGGTAAGGTAAACATGTTACTTGACCAGGTGGACTTGACCAAGGCTGAAAGTGACAGCTACTGTGGGATCATTGGGGTTGCTTAGGTGCCACAGGAGGGCAAGTTCGGGGGTTTAGCAAGCAACACCAGCTTGTGTCTCTTACCTCCCCATCTGTACACAGAGCCCCAGTTTTCTTTCCATGACTAACAAACCCCTTCTTACGTGTGGGTTTGGCTCACGTGACACCAGAAACTTCTGACGCCTGTAACTTTTCTTCTGGGTTTTAAACTATTTGAAGGAAACATCAGCAGAGTAGAGGTCACTGTGCATCCTTGGGATTGACCAACATAAGCTTTGTCCTTGGGGTGTTCATGCCACAAACAGGCACATCCCAGAATGAAGGCCTGTCCATCCCTCATCCTTCCATACAGGCCCTGAGATCCAGAGTCTATCATTTTACTTTGAAAATTACTATTATCAATTATTTTTAATAAAGCTGAAAGAACAGGCCCCAATCTGTACAGAAAATTCATCCAAGGGCTCTCCAAACTGGACTTCCTAGGCCTACACAACGTCTAGACCCTACTATAGACTCTATGTCCCATAGTTGGATTAGATGAGCAATTTCTATTTCCTGCCCTACAAAGGACAGATCGGTGACCCAGGCAGGTAGGATTGTGTGGTTCAGGTCACATGGTGGAAGCAGGTGACAGATTTCAGTGGGAGTGGTGATCAAGAACCCAAGTTTTCACCTCCTATTCCAGCCACTTGCTTGCAATTGTGAAATGCAGGCTCTTAAGATTTTCCTCTTTATTTTTATTTTTGCAGTGTTTCCTCCCCTTCCCAACCCTGGTAACCAAAAAGAACATTTCCTTCCATATATAAACCATTCCTTGACTTTTTACAATGAACTAATACAGTATCTGTCTTATGACTTATTTCACACAGCATGTCCTCCAAGTTCACCCATGTTACACAATGTTTTGCAAACCCTACATTCTTTAGGGCTGTATAGTATTGCATTGTGTGTATAAATCATAATTTGGTTATCCATTCTTCTGTTGATGGGAACCTAGATTGTTTCCATCTTTTTGCTACTGTAAATAGTGCTGTGAGGAACCTGGATGTGCACGTATCTGTTCTTATCCTGGCTATCACTTCTTTAGGATACACACCTAGTAACAGGATTGCTGGATCAAATGGTATTTCTAACTTTTTATGGAATCGCCATACTGTTTTCCATAGTTGTCATAATATTTTACAGCCCAACAGCACTGTATGGGAGTCCCAATCTCTCCACATCCTCATTAGCATGCTATTTTCTGTTGTTGAACTTTGCTATTAGTGCTGGGGCCAGATGGTATCTCAGTTGTTTTGATTTCCATCTCTTTAATGGCTAATGATTGTGAACATTCCTTCATGTCTGTTGCCCGCCAGAATATCCACTTTGGTAAAGTGTCTATTCATGTCTGATGCCCATTTTTTAATTGGATTATTTGTCTTTTTGTTGTTGAGTTGTTGATTTTTATATAAACTTTAGAGATAAGTCCCCCTTGTCAGATATGTTGTTGCTGAATATTTTTTCCTGATCTGTAGATTTTCCTCTTTACACGTCTGTTTTAAAGTTTCAAACTCGTATTTCTGTGCTCATTCTTTAACAGCAAACAAAAGAAAAATAAACAACATGTAAGCAGTTTAGTGTTCTGCCCTGGAGAGCTCCATTTATGCTAAAATTTATTTCCATTGCTGCCTTTCTTGCTGCAATTTCTCTTTTTACTCAGTTGTAAGTTTTCTTTTATGTTAAATAAGAATTTTCCTCATTGAATAGCATTACTTCTTCATTATTAGGGTCGTACCCATTGTTATTTTCAAAGTATTGTGTAAAAAGTCTTTTCAGTGGCTTCTTTAATCCAAATTAAAGTTCTGAATTTTCCAACCAGTTGTTCTATTTAAACATTGTTTCTAATTATCCTAAAATGAAATGACAGAAATTAAGTCTCCATCACACTATTCAATTTTTTAAAATTTTCTTTTTCAGTCCGAGGTGGTAAATTCTAATGTAATTTAGTCACTTAGTACTAACATTTGTTCAACATCTGAAATGTTCACTTCACTGTTGTGCATCGGCAGGAGCAGTATGCTATCTTTACAGGAGTTGTAAAGAATTCTATTGGGATTGCCTGCAGTCAGCAGAACACTATGTAGGAACCTCCAGGCTTCCTCCTTCCTTCCTCCCTCCCAAAACCATGCACAAAGCACTGAGCTTTATTCCTACCCAGGCCCTGGGGATACAGGAGTGAAGAGCCTCGGAGGTTACAGGACAATGGAAGGGCTTCTCTGAACCTACAAAGGAGTGTGCAAATAAAGATAGGATGGTCCTTCTGGGGCCACTTAGGGAAAACTTCAGTAGAGGAGAGAAAGTCAAGGGAAGAGTGGAAGGTGAGTTCTTTAGTGTTATATAGTCCAATCTATCAGACACTCTATAGGCACTGGTCTGTCATTGGTGTGAGACATAGGCTTCCTTTCTTCTGAATCCTGGGTCCATCATCCTCAGGCACAGAGTATCTGATCTACATTTAAATATACATGATAACAAGAGTAACATTTTCCTAGGAGATAAACAATTAGCAGGTTAAGTGCAGAGTTCAGAGAGCATTTCCCCACTCCCAGAGAGTATCTTCACAGTCAGCTATCTTCTCACACAGGACCTAGTTTGTGCTATTTGGGCCTTTATGCTATACTCTACCACAGGTTTTGCATTACTTACACTTCTAGGTTGTGTTTTCATCTCTCTGGTTCTGTCTTCCTCCTCCTAATTTTCAGGAACTCTTCTATCTTGCTTTGCACGATATGCTACTATCTTTTCCAATTTCCAGTCTTTTATCAGGACCTACGCTATCTTCTAAAGTCTTTTCTGTTATTAACTTAATGTCCACTTGAAATCTTTACATGATGTATGTGTATTGTAGCAGTAAATGAAACAGGTCAGCATAATAGTGTCGAATCTCACTGTCAGTCTTTTGTTAAATTTTTTCACCTGAAAAAAGAATTCAACAAGATCATCTTTTAACAAGTATTTATTTGGAAAATGATCTTATAGAAACAGACCCTAAAATCACAATTTCTTATTTCCACAACATAAAGCATAATCCCCATCTCCCCCATAAAAAGCCTACTCCAAAACTGAAGTCCCCCAACCCACGAAGTGTACTGCTAAAAGGAAGGGACATTTATTCAACTTCCACAGGAAGACTGTATAAATCTGGCAGTGGTTAAATACACATCAGCCTGTACCCAAGACAAAAATTAACTGAAAATCTAAACTTAATATGAATACTCTGTGTTCTTAATAAGGCTCAGGAAATTACCACCTGTTATGGTTGCCGTGGTACTAGTTACATTATATAAACTGATGGAAGTAAACAAAAGCACAACATAGGCAATCTGAATTTCAAAACCAATGTCGGTAAATCACTCGATGTAAACAAGAACCTCTTAGAGCCACACTTTAGCCCCAATTTAAAACAAGCATTCAGGACTGGAATCTTCAGAATTTTCTAGTATTTTGAAAATCCCCATCTTCTCCTTAATAGGTCCTGAGGTATTCATTTGATCTAAAAGAAAAGTATTAAAACAAGCACGTTTTTAAAAGTATAAGAATCTAAAAAGGAATCTTAAAAGAACACTATTCACATCTGTTATCTGTTGCAAAATGTGGGGGCATGGGGTATCTTATCTTTGAATACGGAGAAGATATTAGCAAAGCATGTATCTGATCAACAACTTGTAGCCAGGATACACAAAAGAACTTTTTGTCCAATACCAAGACTACCAAGAAACAATATAAAAATGAATTATTTGAAAATAAGTTGAAGACATCATGACACCGTACCCAGTAGTGTGCTGATAAATGTAAAAATCCAAAAAGAAAAAGGAAAAAAAAAAAAAGCCGTGGTTTGTAGTTTTTGCTTTTTTCTGTGGTATAAATATTCCCACTTACCATCAACAATTTTAAAACTACTAGCATAACATCATTTAAAGCAGAGTTGGGAAACTGTACTAGCACACCATTACACAGTATTTTTGCACCGTATAGAGCATGTTGTTGTTATCTGTCGTCAACTCTGAATCATAGCAACCCCTCCTTGGGTTTCCGAGGCGGTATCTCTACAAGAGTAGACTGACGACTCCTCCTTCAGAGGAGAGTGGCTGGTGGGTTTGAACTGCCAGCCTCTGGTTAGCAGTCAAATGCCTTAGGCACTATGCCACCAGAGCTCCTTATACAGAGCATAGATTACAATATATTGTAAAATAATTACAAAGTGACAAGTTATGAGTATGTAGTATCTTTGTTTTCAAAATAATTTATGTAATCTAGGTTTATAAACTTTAAGTGGCTCATAGTATACCACTGACTATATTCCTAAATCCTTTAGCATTTGGTTCCTAAGAGAAAAGACATTCCCTTTCACATCCACAACACAATGATCACATCTAAAAATGTAAAATTTTTTATCATCTACATTCCAATTTCTCCACTTGCTTTAAAATTAATGCTTATAGCTCTCTTCTTTTTTTAAACCAAGATTCAAATAAGGTTCACATTTTGTTTATGTCTTTTTGGTCACTTTTTATCTAGTACAGTCCTCTACTTTTTTCTTCCTCATGACCATGAAGTTTTTAAGAGTCCAGGCCAACTATTTGATAGAACTTCCCATAGTCTGGGTACTTCATGTTGTCACTAACTTTTGTTCCACATTTTCCTGTATTTCCTGCACACTGGAAATTAGGCCTAAATACTCGATTACATTAAACTTTAATAGTTTTACAAGAATATTTCATAAGTAGTGCTGCATACATCACATTAGATTGTACACTACTGCTGTTGTTAGATGTCATCAAGTCAGTTCCAACTCAGTGACCCCTATATACGACTAAACGAAACACTGCCCAGTCCTGCACCATCCTCACAAAACTTGCTATGCTTGAAACTATTGTTGCAGCCACTGTGTCAATTCATCTCCTTGAGGGTCTTCCCACTGATCCCTCTAGTTTACCAAGCATTTCCTTCTCCAGGGACTGGTTCCTTCTAATAACACAACCAAAGTACAACAAATGAAGTCTGGACATTTTCACTTCTAAGGAGCATTCAACTATTGTTGTTGTTGTTGTTTGCCGTCGAGTCGGCCCCGACTCATAGCGACCCCTCCTTGGGTTTCTGAGGCAGTATCACTACGGAAGTAGGATTGCCCAACATTCCTTCCGAGGAGTGGCTGGTGGGTTTGAACTGCCAGCCTTCTGGTGAGCAGTCAAGTGCCTTAGGCACTATGCTACCAGAGCTCCTATTCAACTATTAGTGTTGCTAAACTGGCTCATTTATTTAAGGGTTATCCACCATACCTCCACATTGTAAATATACATTTTCTCCTTTATTAACTGATGTACTCTATGGGCAATAAAGTAGCCTCATATGTATGTCCTGTTCCCTAAAAATCTTCACCTAATTTTTAGCACCCATTCATGATCCCAATCTGACAATTACTTCTCAGGAAAAGGCAAAATGATGATGTCTAATTCTATCGTTCTACTACCTTTAGCAGTTGGTATAGCTCTGTTAGATATAAATTTTTGTTGTTGTTGTTGATAGGTATAAGTGAATATAGAGTAATTTCTGCCCTCATTTTACAATCCAGATACTACCACTCGACGTAACAGCACAATCAACCGGAAAATTTTACAGTGTGGAGGGTAAACCTTATTACTAAAAAAAAGTCCAACTTTCTCAGAAAAATATCAGATTATAGGTTTGGGACAAGCCTTTTTTAGGAAGGGGATGTCTAGGAGATCCTACTGTGCCATAAAAGAAGCTATCAAATGAGATCATATCAAAAGCACACAAATGCCAATGTGAAGGGACGTAAAATGAGATAATGTGAGGAAAATATTAATGACAACATTGCTTTGACCTAAATCAAACATGCAGTATCTGTGTGCTTATAATGATACTAAAAAATAAGTGGAAACTCACTGGTCACCACTGTAGGTTGCTCAAACATCTAAAATTAGATAAATAAAAAAAGAAATCAAGTGTTCATAATACCAATCTTATACGAATTGTATCTCAGTTTTTTTTTGGGGGGTGGGTATTGAAAACTTTTAATATTATAAAGGATTGGTCCATTAGAAGAGTGAATTCACTTGCAATGGACCACGTGGTCCAGATATACACAAAGGACAGTGATGGAAAGGGTACACTTATTGTGTATAGTGATGGGTATATATACATATGATTATGTGCCTTCTGTTTTTTTTTTCTTTCTTCATTCCCCAGTATTGGTATTTTTCACTGATATTTGATGAAGGACACCTTCTGCTTTAATCTGTTTTTTGTTTATATTTGTTTACTTAGTTCATCAAATAGGTACACTCTTGTGTCATTTATTTTTGGTGATAAATGACAAGTAGAAGAGGGTATGAACAAATGTAAATGAAAAAAGTGACTTTAGTAAATGAAAAATGAAAAAAGCTAGTGAGCATACATTTCACAGTTTATATAGGATTTAGGTTATGAAGTTATTTGTCTGGTCTATCTACCTTATTTTCCTCAGTTAAACAAGAAGTAATATCATGTTATTACAATAGCTGTTCCATTACTGTAACTTTTTTTTTTTAATTGTGATTTGGGTGAAAATTTACAGAGCAAATTCACTTTCCATACAGCAGTTCACATACACTTTGTCTCATGACATTGACTACAATTCACCACAATGCAACAGCTCCCCTCCCACTTCTTCCCAATAGTTACCTCTTCCCTGTATCCATCCCTCCATGTACTTCTGCCCCTTCAGCTGTCTCTCTCTACATAAACAGCTCTTCTTTCTCCCATGATTGGTCTCTCCAAGGAGTGTATCTACCTCAGGTACATGTTCAACTCATATGCTTGTCTTTTGCTTGGCGGGAAGCCACAGGTGTGGGTTCAATTCCAAACATGAAGGACAGCTAAGGGCCATAGTCCCAGGCTCCATCAGACCAGCAAACCTGGTTCCGCCCCCCCCACCTTTTTTTAACAAATGATTTTGAGTTTTGTTCCACATTTTTCTCCCTCTCTATCAAAGATCTCCTACGTAGGTCCCTCTCTTACTGGTTGACAGTGGTAGGCTGGCACCATCTAGCTCTTCTGGTGTTTTGTGTGTAGTATGTTATGCCAATTGAGCCTGATGTCCCCTGCAACTATGATCCCAAGCCCACTGGTTCAACTACTCCGTCCCTCCTGCTAGCTGGCTGTGACCAAAAAGTGACTACAACCTTGTTCCTTGTCAGCTCTACTTTACACCTGGGAATTCTTACAAATCTCACAAATTTGTATGTAAGTGTATGTACAGATACACTTATAGGATCACTGTATACCAACCCTATACATTCAAACCCTATTCATTCACCGCTTCGTAGACATACCTAATAGTTCAGCCTCTCCACCCATCTATCTATCCACCCATATACCATGTTTGCCTTCGCTGACAACACAGTATTGTATGTGCAGTTCTTCTTAACAGATGAATTACAGCTAATGAAGAAGCAACAGAATAAAATCCCCATTTTGCAAAGCTTAAAGAAGTCATGCATGATAAAACTAAAAGGCAAAAAATAAGGTTGACAGGGAACTTCATAATATTAAGATCGGCCAGAATGTATTGATCAATCTTAGCTAACAAAAAACGAGTCAGTCAGGCATGTGCCTCTGGTACAATATGAAATATGAGAACAAAGCAATGATATTCTTGACTAAGATATGGAACCTAAGTCTAAGCCTATAGAGCTATTTACCAGTTTACAGGAAGTACAGATTTAGAAGTTAAGAGACATAACAAAGAAAAAATATAAGCCAATTCCAGAGTGTGGGCCATTTTATAGGATAAATAACCCAGTTTCTCCAACACATCAGTTCCATTTATTAAAAAATGAAGGAATGTTACAGAAAAGAGACAACAATCTATGAAATTTGGATCCCGATTCAAATTATAAAAAGAGCTGAGACAATTGGGCACAAGGTGGTATCAAAAAGTTAGTGTCATTTCTCTCAAATGCTATAATGGCATGTTATTGTTGTTGTTATGTGCCTGAGTCGGATCCGATTCACAGCGACCCCTCCTTGGGTTTCCGAGGCGGTATCACTACAGAAGTAGATTGCCCAACCTTCCTTCTGAGGAATCGCTGATGGGTTTGAACCACCAGCCTTCTGGTTAGCAGTCAAATGCCTTAGGCACTATGCTACCAGAGTGATTATGTATTAAAACATGTTTTCAGTAAAAGAGGAATAATGAAGTATTTAAGGGTATAATGTCATAATATCTGACATTTTATTTTAAAACTCTAATAATCAAGAAAGATGCCAATGAAACAAGATTGGCTAAATGTTAACTATTAAGGGTGAATAACTCAGAGGGGTTCATTATACTATTACCTCTAGTTAGGTATGTGTTTCAAAGTCCCCATTTCTTATTAAAAAAAAAAAAAAAAAAAAGCCCAAGATCTTACCAATGAGATCACTTCGATCTAACAACAACTGTAAATCTTTATCACTAATGACCTTTTCTCTTGATCCTTTTACTTCCCTAGAAAAAAAAATGAAATGTCCAAGTCTATATAAAGAAATAAAAACCATGAATTACGTTTTTCTAAGATTAAAAAGAAAACTTACCTTTCATAATCTCTAGATTTTAATAATTCCATTAATTCCTTAGGATCTAAGAAGTTCTTAGATTGACTTAATCCAGATTTACCACCTTTAAAATGATCTAGAAAAATATTATCAAAGAATTCAAAACATTAAAATTCCTTTTAAGAGTACAATATCATGCCTTAAAAATCTATCAGAATGACCAACATTTAAAAAAAAAAAAGACAAAATCTGTGTTGGCAAGGGTGAAAGCAACTAAAATACTCATACTTTGCTGGTAGTATGAATACTTTAGGAATAAGTTTGGTGGTTTCTTAAGAGTTAAACAAAACCACACCCTCTAACCAGGGAAGAAATAAATTTTTATGTTCACAAAAACTTGTATAAGAATGTCAAAGTAGCTTATTCATAGTAACACTGGAAACAACCCCACCATCCATCAGCAGGAGAATGGATCAACAAATGACTTAGGAGTTTAAAAAAACAAGAACAAACTTCTGATATGGAAGAAATCAATCTCATAATTACACTGAGTTACAAGTAGCTAGACTGAAAAGAATATACTCACACAAATGAATCCATGAACTAAGTTAAAAACAAAATTAAATCAGTGTGACAGAAATCAGTATATGGTTGCCTTCTGGCAGGGAGCAGGGGTTCTGAGGGAATAATAGCACAGGATGCATAAGGAAACTTTCTTGGATGCTGGAAGTTTATTATCTCCACCAGGATGACAGTTATGTTAAATGCACACACACATTTACCAAAATTCATCAAGCTGTACATAATATTATACACATATAATAATACCTCAATAAAAGTCAGCATTAAAAAAAATCCTTTTAAAATTTTCTGTGAAATTAATCATTAGGAAGTTTTATTAAATCTTTTTGGCAAGTACATCTTTTGTAAGAAGTACCTATTAGCATCATGTCAAATGCTTGCCATGACAAAAGTTAGGATATGTCACCTTAAAATTATCCTCCACCCTTTAATATTCCCTCTGCTCCATATCTAGACACTATTTTTCTTCTTGTTATATTTATGGTCACCAACTTAGTGAAGGTCTTCAACAACTCCAAATTCCCCAATGCCTATTTAAAGCCTGCCGTATCAGGTAGCACTGAAAAAAATTCTTTTATAAATAAAGTAACAAAAATGCACAACAGACAACAGACAACTGAAGCAAAAAGTACTACATAGATGATATTTACTTTTGTGGATGATCAACTTCTCCAATTTCCTTTTAGCAGCTGCTCGTTCCACAATTTTCTGATCAACAGTATTTGCTGTAACAAGGCGATACACAACAACTGGCTTTGTCTGACCAATTCTATGACATCGATCCTGGGCCTGAAGATCAGACTGGGGATTCTTAATTTCAAAAGGAAAATAAGATTATAACAACATTAGGTTCAAATTTAACTCATGACACATGGGTAAAGTCAACATGCATAGTCCAACCAGAAACTTATTAATGGTATCTCAGTTAAATTTGGATTTCTAGAGTGGCTTCATAGATAAGATTATCATTCTATATACCCTTAAGGAGCTCTGGTGGTGTAGTTCTAAGGTTGGCAGTTCAAACCCACCAGGCACTCCACAGAAGGAAGACTGGGCAATCTATTTCCATAAAGATTCACTGCCTCAGAAACACAAAGGGGACTGCTATCAGTCAGAATTGATTTGTTGGCAGTGAGTCTGGGTTTTTTTTCCTTTTAAAGATACCTGTGGCAATCTGAAAAAAACAATTCTTCAATATCTAAAAAGTAACACGTTCAGGTTTTCTACAAGTAGAAAACTTAATTTAAAAAAATGATTTTTAGCTAAATTTTAATACATTTTCAAAGAATGATTAAAAATTCAGAATGGAAATATATTAAGCTTATTGCTGAAAATATGTTTTATTTCCAACTTACCCAATCACTATCATAAATGATCACTGTATCTGCTGCTGTTAAATTAATGCCCAGACCACCAGCTCGTGTACTCACTAAGAAGATAAACACTGTTGGATCTGTGTTGAAGTTATGCATCTAAAACCAAAACAGAAATAAACATAAAGAATTAAGAAAGCAACTTCAACCAACAAAACGGGGGAAACTGTTTTTCACTACAACTGCTAGAGGTTTATCCAAATCAGGCCAAACAAGTTAACTAATGAAAGCTCTTCATAACTTCATTTATTTCCCAAATATCTATTTTATTAAGAAGATCTTAACTTTGTTAAAACCATGCAACACAAGGAACATTTAAGAGAGTCTATTACTTACAAAAAAAAAAAAATCTGGGCTAAAATCAAGTGTTGGAAAACAATATCAATAGTGGCTGCCTGGTGATATACATGTCTGTCAAAACTTAGCAAACGTATGCTTTATTTTATTCACTTCAGACAATGTAAAGTTCACACCAAAAGACAAAATAACTGTAACTAAATATGCTTAAGTATTTAGAGAGAAAGGTACTGTCATCTGTAATTTATTTTGAAACACATTAAAATAACAGGATAGAATGTTGAACATATAGAGCAATAACCTGTTTGGCAGGTACATGATAAAACAGGTATAGTGAAATGTTAGTGACAAATTCTAGGTATAACACAGAAGCTGTTCTGTTCTATTGGTATATGGTGGTCACTGTAAAATTCTTTCAACTCTGCTATCGATCTGGAAATTTTCATTCTGGGAAAACATCAGGGCACAAAAATTCCTGTTACCCCAATATTCTGACATTCATAGGTAAGTAGGATATTATTATATAAAAGTTATGCCAAAAAACATAAATAATTTGGGAATCACACTTTTAAAACTTAATAATACTAAATCAAATGCTTATAAATTTTTGATCCTACCAGATTTTGTTCTTTCCTATCTTCCTATCAAATTGTGAGTCTATTTGTGAAAACTACCTCAAATACCAAAACAGGAGTTACAAAAAAGAACCTGCTGTGTGTGACATAAGAAATCTCACATTTTTTTCTCTCTCTGAATAAGACATGGATCCGTCAAGCCTGCTGAAGTTGAAATTTCTAAAATGGCAGTAATCCATCAAAATGTCCAACATTCTTGTCATTTGTGAAAACAGCAGCACCTGCAATTTAAGTATATCTTAGTATTTATACTGATTAATAAAGAATAAATGAACAGTCAAAATTCCAATATAAAGTATTACCTTATGACCTCTGCTCTTTAGTTCTGGCAGCATCCGATCCAAAATTAAGAATTTTCCAGAATTTGTCACCAATTCTTCATCAATCTTAACATGCGCACAGAAAAAAAAAAAAGGAAAATAATCACCCAAATTACTAATCATTTGCTTTATCAAAATAAAAGCCATGTGAACGGTTCAAATTTGAGTAAGAAATAAGTCAATATAAAACTTCTTAAAAATTGACCTTGTCTTTAATTTTTTTTATCAGAAGATATCCATTAGAATGTAAAACCATTGACTTTGCAAAAACAAAATTACCTACAAGTATAACTCTGATCCATCCTCTCAACCCTCTCCCAAAGGCTTTGTGTAAGAGAACATTAGGTTCAAAATTATTGTGTATTATGCTGAGGTTAGGAGCTCTGGTAGCATAGTGCCTAAGGCACTTGACTGCTAAACCAGAAGGCTAGCGGTTCAAACCCACCAGCCACTCCTCGGAAGGAAGGCTGAGCAATCTATCCATAGTGACACTGCCTCAGAAACCCAGCGAGGGGTTGCTGTGAGTCAGGTCCAACTCAATGGCACATAACAGCAACAATAGGCTCTGGTTTATTATTTAAAGCTGAATAAATATACTTTCAATAAAATGTGTATGAAAATTACTGCCAAAAGTCTTAGTAGAAATTTAAAAAAAAAAAAAGGAACATAAGTGGGTCTGAGGGTAAAGAAGTACTTCATATTCTGGTGAAATACTGGCCCAATGACCTTGTCAGAGAGGTATAAATACTTTCACTTGAGTGAAGTTTTTCTTGTCTTTACTCAAATTAAAGACTATAAAACAGTGGTTCTGAAATGGGGCAATTTTGTCCCACTCTTATCGGCATTTGGCAGGATGTCACAATTGGGGCAATACTGGCATTTGGTGGGTGGAAGCCAGGAATGCTTCTAACTGTCCTACAATGCACAGGGCTCCACCTCCACAGCAAAGAATTATCTAGCCCAAAATGTCAATATTGCCAGGGTTGGGGAAGTTTGCTATAAACTAGTATGAAACAAGGGTTATTGAAGATTACTGAGCACTGATGCTATTTTTCAAAAAATTGTCTAGAAAAGTAATTTCATTCAGTCTGAAATTTTCCAAACTCACTGTCAATTTTTTAGTTCTCCTCTGTGGCTATTTGTGCAGACTCAAACAATGAGCAGCCAGATTGAGTCTGACAATCTGAAAACTTAACTGATTACCTTTTATAATATGTTAAGTAAAAGTAATACTGAAATGGTGACAATTACTTTAAAAAGAGACATAATAAAGGCTAAATAGAAATCAACTGCTTTACTGAAAAAATGAAGTTTCAATTTCACTCTAAAATTAGAATGATCATCTCTTAGCTGTTCACATAAAATATGTAAACAAACATATGAGTAGTTGAATAGCACACAGAAACTGACCTTCACAAGGTTCTTCAAGGTTCTGGGGATAAGACTGTCCATTTACTAGAGAAAGGGCTACAATTTTTACATGGCAAAGAGAACAATGTTGTTGTTGTTATGTGCCGTCGGGTCAGACTCATAGCGACCCCTCCTTGGGTTTCTGAGGCTGTATCACTGCAGAAGTAGATTGCCCAACCTTCGGAGTCGCTGGTGGTTTTGAACCACCAGCTTTCTGGTTGACAGTCAAGTGCCTTAGGCACTAGGCTACTAGAGCTCCTAAATACAACAATACTGACTTTAAATTACAATTATCAGACCAAACAAAACAAAACTTTTCCAATAGAAAAGTTACAGAAATAATAAAAAAAAAAAAAGGTAAATTAATTGGTATTTACCTTAAACTCTTGAGTGACAGGGTCTATAGGATACTCAATTAAATATGGATGGTTACAACATTTACGAAGTAACATCATTATATTCTGCAGCTTAAGGTTAATTTCAGATTCCATAGGGATGTTCACTTCCACAACAGTTCTACCCAAAAGAAACAATCCTTGGATAAGAGACTGGGAATATCACAATTGAAGAATACTTTAATTAATTCATTTTTAACAAACACCTTTCTCGATCCATTTCTGACTGCATTTGACTAATTAATTTTTCCAATTCATTAGGAGAATCATCTATTTCACTGTAATTTATTGATTTTCTTGTTCGCCGTTTTGGTCGGCCAGTAGGACTTAGCTCAATTGTTTCTTCCTAAAAGATAATAGAAATTAACAAGTTATATACTTAAATGCTAAACAGATACAAAATAGGGTAAAATATTTTAATGTACAAAATGAATTTTTCAAGGTACAAAGAAAAATATGTTCTTTTTCATCATATTTAGTCATTTCCAATAGCACAATACAAGGAACTCATGATCTATAGCTAAAACCAAATGTCTGAAATCACTAATGACATTATCTGAGAGATCAAGTACCTTCATATCTCAGAGGAGAAAATTAAACATGGATAAAACTGTCTTTAACAGGGGTGACTACTAAAGTAGATTATTTCTTTAAAATAGAGTAGTTTACTAATCTTCTTATGCATCAAGAACCTTCTAAGTTGAACTGTTTATTTGGAGGGCATTGGTCTAGTTGGCAAGCCCTTAGTACAGTGATTGTCAGACTTTTGTGTACCTATTACTATTCCTCACCATGTCCAGACAGAGTGATCAGAGTTAATCTGGAACAGGTATCTAAATTGTTACCAAGCATTCCAGATGACTGTGAAACAGTTAGTGCATGAACCATAGCTTGAATTTTATTAGGAACACAGAATTACTAGAACAACTTTTACTATTGGACTTCTATGCCAAGTCTCATTTACAGTATATTTCAAATTCATTTTCTTTCTACCTCACTAGATCCAAACATGTTTGCAATTGTACGGTTCACAATGGCTGTATAAAATATTTCTTGCTTCTTTGAAAGCGGTGCATAAACAACTACTTCTCGTTTAGGAGGAACTTCAAGAGTAACATCAGATTTCAGTCTCCTCAGTAAGAAAGGTGTTAGAATCTAAAATTTAAACATAAACAAATATGAATAGGAAAATTTCTTGTATTTTTAGAGAACTCTTTCCCCACACACCCCTACACTTTTTCTTTCTTTGTAAATATTATCAAGTACCTATAGTAACATAAAACATCATCTCAAAATTTCCCCAGAGCAGACCAATAAATGACATATTCATAGTATTAACAACTGCACCATTTCGTAATTAAATTAAAAAAAAAAAAAAACCTGTAAGAATATATCTGGAATAATTTAAAGATGACAAATAAGGTAACACTTATACTTCTTAAAGTTATACAGGAATTTTCAGTTATAGCCCCTATTGTAGAGTGAGGTTACAGACTACTAAAGAAGCAACCAGAGTTAGAAACATGAAAGCTTCCTTCACTAAGTTCTAGAATATCATGCTTACAATTACTCTTCTTCATTAGCTAGAGTGATAGAAAGTGATTAATACATTTCTAAGCAGACCAACAAAAACAAGTTAATCATACCAACTGCTTAGGCCTTTCAAAGTATACACAACAATTACTTAAAAGTTTATAATCTTTAGAACCTATCCTCTAAGTATAGAGCTAAGCACAGAGAGACTGTAGCAGAGAAAGTAAGTTACCAATGGTTCAAAAATAAAAATGTTTTTGAAGACTGATGGAAAACTCCAACACCTCAACACCAAAGGAATTAACAATCCAATAGAAAAATGGGTAGAAGACATGAATAGATACTTCACCAAGGAGGATATTCAGGTGGTTAGCTAATACATGAAAAGATGCTCACAATCATTGGCCATCAGAGAGATGTAAATCAAAACAACAATGAGATATACCATCTCACCCCAGCACTGATGGCAAGGTTCAATGAGACAGAAAATAACAAAATGCCGGTGGGGATGTGGAGAGATTAAAAAAAAAAAAAAAAAAAAGTATACAGCGACAGCAGCATAGAAAGCACTAACTGAAGATCAAAAACTACACCCTTCAGAATGGATTATACCTTACCATAAAGAAAACAAAATTCCTTACAGATGGACCAATAAGCAACATCATGATAAATGGAGTAATAGACTGAAGTTGCCAAGGACTTCATTTTACTTAGATGAGGCAGTCTGGTCCCATAAAGGTGTACAGCCTTAGAAACCCTATGGGACAGTTCTATTCTGTCTTATAGGGCATCGTGAGTCAGAAATGACCAGATGGCAGTGTGTGTGTGTGGTTTTTTTTTGTTTTTTTTTTTTTACTAGAATCAATGGCCATGGGAGTAACAGTCAAGAAATCAGACGATGTACTTCATTGGGCAAATCTGCTGCAAAAGACTTCTTGACTTGTGTGGGGACCTATGTAGGAGATCCTGGATAGAGTAGGAGAACAATGTGGAACAAAACTCAAAATCATTGAAAAGAAAAAAAAAAAGGGGACTAGGTTGGCTGGTCTCATAGAGCCTGGTGGAACCCCTGACACTATGGCCCCTAGTTGCCCTAACAGGTCTGGAATTGAACCTACTCCTGTGGCTTCCAGATAAACAAAAAACAGGCATATGAGATGAACATTTACATTAGGTAGATACATTCCTTAGAAAGATCAATCATGCGAGAATAGAAGTGGAAAGGCAGGGAGACAGCTTGGGGGGTAGGACATAGGGAAAAAGTAACTATGGGGAGGAAGTGGGAAGAGAGCTGTTGCATTGTGGGAAAGTGCAGTCAATGTCATGAGACAAAGTATATGTGAACTGTTGTATGGAAAATGAATTTGCTTTGTAAACCTTCACCCAAAATACAATAAAAACTAAATAACAATAAAAAAAGAAGACGACCACAACTTCTTCAAAGTGTTAAAGGAACAAAGATGTCACTTTGAAGACTAAGGTGTTCCTGATCAAAGCCATGGTATTTTCATAGTCTTACATGCATGGGAGAGCTGGACAATGAATAAGGAAAACTGAAGAATTGGTGCATTTGAACTGTGGTTCTCGTGAAGTGTACAGAATGTAAGTACAGACTGCCAGGAAGAAAATAAAATCTGGAAGAAGTACAACCAGAATGCTTCTTAGAAGTGAGAATGGGTAAATTCTGCCTTACTTTGGTCATGGTGTCAGAAGAGATGAACCCCTAGAAAAGGATATCATGCTTGGTAAAGGAGGAAAAGGGGGAAGACCCCCAACGAGATCAATGAGACACAGTGGCTGCAATGATGGGCTCAGGCATCGCAACGATTGTGAGGCTGGCGCAGAACCAGGCAGTGTTTTGTGCTGTTGTACATAAGGTTGCCGTAAGTTGGAAATGACGTGACAGCATTTAGCAACAGTCATCAGGAAAAACAAATACAAATATTCCATAAATCTGTTAGATGCTCCTATCTTTAAGAACATCAACACAGTGAGACACATTTTTCCAACAAGTAGACTGACATATGTTAAAAAGACTGATGTCTAGTAATGGCAAGGATGTGGGAAAAGAGGTATTCATACATTGCGGGAAGATTTGTATATAGGGTATTTATATATATATATATATATATATATATACTTTCTGGGAGCTCTGGCAGCATAGGGCCTAAGGCACTTGACTGCTAGCCAGAAGGATGGCGGTTCAAACCCACCAGCCACTCCTTGGAAGGAAGTTGGGGCAATCTACTTCCAAACTGATACTGCCTCAGAAACCCAAGGAGGGGTCGCTATGAGTCGAGTCTGACTCGATGGCAAATAACAACAACAACACATACTTTCTAGGGTAAACACAAGAAAGACTCTATTAATTACTTTTATTAAAGAGTGAAGATAAAGTGCAGAAGGGAATGAAACTTATTTTTCATTTTCTAATTTTCAGTACTATTTTTAAAAAAAGCCTGTTACATTGCTTTTGGTTTTCAATGTAAGGGGAACTGGGAACACAGTAAGTTTAGAGAACTGTACAAAAAGTGGCAAAAGTATTTTTGAAGGCACTTTAATATATTGATTAATAGAGTTGAGTTCAATTATTTTAAAAAGTATATTGGGAAGGATAAAAACTTTAATACTAATAATACCAGACAAACTAGACTTAAAAATTTCCTATAGGTTAGATAAAAATTTTAAAGGTTAATCATAAGTAAGCTCAAACTAAATGCATTTTAAAAATGAAGATCACAGGTGCAGTGTAGTAAATTACATGATAGGGCTTTTTTAGCCATAGTATTGTTAACTCCCACTGTGCTATAAGTAACTGAGTAGTTGCTTGTTAAAGTCATCCACCTGGAGCAACACAAAGCAATCTTCTGGGAAGTTCACTGTCTCTCAGGTGTATAGATTTCTGATGTTGGGATTGGTTAGTTTGACCACTCGGCCAGCCTCAAAAGGAGCCCTCCTAGAGGCAGAAAAAGTGTCTGACTTCCGGCTAAGAAAGATGTACTGCTGAGAGACATGAGAGAGACAAGTACTGCTGACAGAGACATGCTACTGAGAGACTGAGAAAGATTATCAGCTGAGAGAGACTGAGCATGTTCCTGAACTTGAATGACAGCTTGCTGCTTCCCTAATAAAACCCACAATCTGTGAGTGGTATTTGTTGAGTTCTGCGTGGCCACTGCAACAAACTGTCGAGCCCAGCAGAGAGGTAGTGACTGCCGTGGGATGGACTGTTGGTGTAAGGGTTGGTGAAAGGGCTGGAGGGAGACACCATGTCTGGCCTCTCAGGAATAGGCCTTGGGCAGCTGACAGTGATTCTGTCTTCCTCTTGTGTAGTTAGAGGAGGTCAGAAGATGCGACCTCACTGCCTCTTTAGCAATAGGTATAAATCTAAGTTCTACCTCAAATTTCCAGCTGCATGAATGAAAATAAAATACAGTCAGCAAAAGACTCCAAGAGTTTCAATTTTAAAGTTTTAACTTAAAATATTTAAGTTAAGATAATGGCAGTATTTTAAGGATGGTGTTTTTGAATTATAAGAGGGGGACTTTATCTAGATAGTGTATATGTCAAAAAATTATCAAAAAAAGAACAAAAAGAAAAATACATTCAATCTCATCCATAGAACTGATTTTTAAAGTGAAAATGGACACAGGGGAGATATCTATACTCTGTAAAATTCCTATTTTATCCCTAATAGTCTGTCCGAAAAGAAGCACTAACCAACTCTCGCATGTTAGTGAGACATTAAAGGATATTAAGAGTTGAAAACATTTTCTTCTGGTTAGCAGTCAAAGACACTATGCCACCAGAGTTCCCATCTAATAAATTAAGCTTTTTAAATATAGAAATTAAGTGTCAAAGCCCTCACTTTGTTACACTAAGCAGACTGAAGTATTGATGATAATGGTACGTCATGTCAAAACTTATCTACTCTTCTGCACACATGGAATTGCCCATGAATCAGTAATGACTCAAGGGCAACTAACAACAACCATTAGCACATGAAATTTTAAAACTTCAACACATATACATCCAAGACACCATAAACAAAATTTACCCAAAAATGTGTGGAAGGGAAAAAATATTTGCAACATAACAACTGATGATCTATCTTTAATATACAGTTGTTATAAATCATTAAGAAAAATATTAAAGGGCTTGTAATCCTCAAAGTGAGAGCTCCGGTGGCATAGTATCTAAAACAATTGACTGCTAAATCAGAAGGCTAGTGGTTCAAATTCACAAGCCACTCCTCAGAAGGAAGGTTGGGCAATCTACTTCCATAGTTATACCGCCTCAGAAACCCAAGGAGGGATCGCTATGAGTCGGATTCGACCCAATGGCAATGAGTTTGGTTTTTTGGTTTAATCCTCAAACTTGGCATGAATGTTGGGAAAACAAGTATTTTCATACATTCCCTATAGAAATATTAGCTGTATCAATCTTATCTAGAGGTCAATTTAAGGAGCTCTGTTGGCATAGTGCCTAAGGTATTTGACTATTAACCAGAAGGTTGGTGGTTCAAA